ATTTGAGCAGCATTAATTATTTGAATTTAAGCATCTAATTTAATTTACTACTATCGTTTAATTAATTAGTGGCCGAAAAATCAATAGGCCTATGTAATAAATAAGTTTAACTGGAAATCTAACATCAAAAATATGCATTAAATCATCTATAGTTGTGAGATCAGGGAATTCCATAACTGATCCAACAATTACAAATGATTTGGTGCACATAGTTTTATCCATAAATCTATTAACAACCGGAAAACAAGTCAAATATCAAGCAAAAATTACTGTTAAGATTTTGTCTCGGAAAATCTTGCTGTATTATGGGCAGTTTATTCTTCTCACCAGAAAAAAGAGAGAGCAGTTACATTCAAAACATAGTCAATTATAAGTTTGTTAGTCTTATGTACAATGAACTAACTATTATACTTCAAAAATATCTTCTCAACTCTCCGTATTCATTAAAAATAAAAAATAAAAACTGTTCATTGTGTGAGACTTCCACCCCCAATGAGATTTGGGGAGAATTAGGCTTACGCAGTCTAATTCATGCATACCAAGAGGTTGTTTCTACTACTCATACTCTTGATACATAGGCCTTAATAAAATAAATTTTATTTTTTTTTTTGGTTCAGTGGTATGGGGTGTTCAAACTATTTTATACGCACCTCGATTAATCCCTCTCCAATTCGGTCAAAGGCAAGTCATCCACGCCGAGATTAGGGTAGGGATAAATTCCTCATGGCTTAGCATCAAAAAATTTATCAAAATTCAAACTCATGACTTCTGAATTTATAACTAATTCTTATTACCACTTGAACTATTGTTTCGGTTAAACAATCTTATTACCAGTAGTTAAAACTCATGCTCTCTCACTCACTGCATTCAAATATTCTACTTATACAGTAGAGTAATAATTTTTGGCACAACCCACCCACCAAAACTTGAACTTAAACTAGTGCTTAAAGTTCATTATTAATAGACATGAATTGCGAAATATGACAAGATTTGTTATAAATAACAGAGATAAAGCAAAAATTGCAATGCAATCTTGTACTATTTCTGACTAAAGTATTGGAATGTAACTACTAATTGCTAATGGTATTTGACAAGCAATGTACCATATATGTTGCACGTGAATAATTTTATTATTGGTATTTCAAGTACGTTGTACGATATCTTGGGTGTTGCGATATGTAGATCAATTTTTAGATCCAGATAAAATATATTGTAAATCATGATTCTAAGTGTTTGAATGAAGAAGAATAATATATTGTTTGATTTTTGGGATTCAATTTTCTATTGGTGTTGAAAGATCTGTCTTTTGTTTTTTTGTCTTGTATTATATGTTGACGTAAGTGGTCTCAGAAGTTTGATTATTTGTGCTTTAAAATATTATAATATATTTTTGTGAATGGTCCCAATAACATAGGTTCCCATAAAGTGTTGTAATTCATTTGTTTATGTTATTTTTACTTTAATTTTGCATGGTTTCAGCCATATACTCTACTTTATTCAGCATTGACGTACACTATGGGCAGTGAGCTTATAAGCATACCATATAAGAAATATGTGGGTGCTTCTCCTATGTACATTGACTGGGTTGATGCAGAAAAAATTTCAATTTCAGAGATTCATTGCATGACCAAAGAGATTGGGTGTGCTGATGTAAGGGCATGTTGGTATAAAGTTCCTGCAATGGACATTATCAGTGAGTTGAGGGTTTTGGAAAGTGATAGAAACATTCTTTGAATGGTGGAATGGATACCAACATATAGAGTGATTAAGACATACTTAGAGCATGAGACAACAATAGATGAAATGCAAGGTCAAGTGCAATCAAGCACTTGGCCTTTCAATGCTATGGAATGTGTTTTTTAGTACTATGAAATCAGTAGAAAAGGACTTAGAATTCAATACCAAAAGATAATTTCATTCATTAGAAAAAAAATATTACATTCAGTACTACATTAAACATGATGACCAGAATGCAAGCATCATCAATTACAACTACAAAACATCCTTCTTTGATTCCTCTACATTTGTGTTTAGCAACAGTCAAATTAGGAGACAACAAACTCCTAATGTTATCTATAACATTTTCTCTCTTGCCTTAACCTTCCCTTGTTGAGCCTCTACAGTATTCAATCTTCGAAGAAGTCCTGAAATCACTTGTCGTGCACGCATGCACATTGGCGTGTCTTGCCAAATGAAAAAATCGCACCCACCATTTTGCAACATTAAAATATGCAAACAATAAGCATGAAGAAAAAAAGGAATTCTTCATACAAGCTAGATACCTACACCCATGTTTAGACAAGTCAAAAACTTTCTTCTGGGGATTCTAATCCATCTAAGACGTTTTCTTTACGACCCTCTTTCCGCAATTACAAAGCACATCTAAAACTCTGTCATTAAGATTTTCCTTCTTTCCTTTTTTTTTTTTGTTGAAAATTACTCTGTTTCTGCAAAACCCAGCACATAAACAGAGGGAAGCACTGAATATTGCTCTTTATGCTTTGTAAAAGAGGGAAGTTGTGTAAGATTTGGAGTCAAAATACATCATTTTTCCTTAATTACCCCTAAAAAGTGTCTCACATGAGTCAGGCGTGCGTTTGTCTGTCACAGTAAATGGCTGAATTAGATGGAAGGATTTGATTGACACACATTGGCAAGTTGAGAGGTTAAATTAGCACAAACTAAAGTTAAATTGCTTAATTAACTTAAACTATATAATTTAAGGACTAAGTAGGTAGTTAACTCAAAATGTGCTTCAAAAGGGCGACAACAGTTAGGAGCGTATGGTAGCCAACATGTCAATTGTATTCTGCTTCTGGAATCACGGCCACACTGCACCAGTGCGTTCTCGTCACCGAACTCTCGCGATAATGGACCACCAAGATTTGGACACGTGTCAAATCCAGCTACGACCGACGTCCATTTCATCGAATCAACGTCACACAGGAGACTTGAGTACGAACAGGGTCCCATACTCTCGAAAGTTCCAGTCCGTACCACCAACGTGGGCCCACACTAAAAGAGACATTACATGGTGACCATCCGATCTGGAAGGTCTGAGATCCTAGTGGCTCGAATTTGAAAGCAGGACTGCACCGCCGATTCACTGGGTTACATCCCTAGCACGTGGAGTCACATGCACAAACGCTGGTTTTCAAGATTCGCAATTAGAGTCCTTTAGATTGCGAAATGACATAAATTACCCCACCTTCCAAAAATAATTTCAATGTTCCTACTTTTACCCCCCAGTTCTTTCTTATTATTATCTCTCACTATCTGTAAAACTAAAATTTCTATTTTACAAAAAATAATGCATATTTATATTAAACACTTTAAAAAATATAAGTTCTTCTTTCACCCGAAAAACTTCAACTCCGACAAGCATAGTATTTATGATCTCTTAAATAGATTCATCTCGATCATTTTAACTAGTTCATACTTTTTCAAACATAGTATTATTTTCATAACAACTCAATTGCTTTGAATGAGGTGTGTATTTTTTTTTTTTTTGGCAAGAAAATATTCCTATTTTTTGGGACAGGAGGTTTGATTCTAAAGCATCGCATCATTGAGCTATCTTGTCTTGGTAGGCAAAAGTGATAGAATATATGCCCAACCTGTAGGTAAAGGAAATCACATAGTTGATACTGATATTATAGCATTCAGGACCAACCGTCCCTTGTGCTTCATGTACTAATTTTGTGTTTCCGTGGGGTCGAAGTGTAATTCCTGTTTGTGTAACAAGGCCTAATTCTCTATACACCTAACGCAGTCACTCTCTTTGAATATTAAACAGGAAGAGGACCTCAATTTTGAACTATTTTACGTTGAAATAAATAAATAATTTAAGTTATTTCTTTTTACAGAGTGTTCAATCTTACGCCGACTACTCTCTTGAGTTCAGTTATTGGCTACCGTGATTTGAGCTGAGTTAGACTATGTCCCTAAAGAGACAAATGTAGTTAACCCTTAGAGAATGTAAGAAAAGATTAAACCTGAGACTTCTAGATTATCCGATGTCATGCTAAAATACTGGACCACTGTTAAGGGTTAAATAAATACTTAAGTTATATCATCTATAATAGTTTAAATTTTTAGATGATTGGTAGTATCACTTTGTACCACAAGAGATATACATAATGGAAAGAGAAATATGTGTCCTCAAGGAAATTTAGATTAAGAGTAAACATTCATCGTTTAAATAATGAACTACCAAGATATTTACTCATGTTCACTCCCCATACTTTCGCACCCTAGCGTCGATAGGGACACAAAGGCCTGCCTTCGCTTTTGACATTCTTTTGTAGATCTCTGAATTTCACCCTTACACACGAAATTACAATGTCCTCAGGAGTCCTGATATGACTCTTTTTGTGTAAGGTCCCTCCCTCCCTTGTAATGTACATGGTGCATATTGCCAATACTTTGAATTTTTATAATTCAACAAATAATAGTTTCAAACTTTTTTTTTATGTGACGAGAAACCTCTCCAAGCTAGAGTCACATTAGACTTATCTTTTACAAACTAAATCTCAAATACTTAATAAAGAACCACATGTGTCGGTCAAACTCAAGATCATTCACGAGAATTGAATTCAAACCGTCCGAACTTACATTTTAGCCCAAACTCAACCCCACCACTGGGATAACGGTCACTTCTCCTTCTCCTCCTCCTACTCCTCCTCTTCATTTTCCACACTAGCCCTCATGTGCTTCCATTTACATGACATGGTAAAGTGATGATAGACATATAGAGCGGCCCAATTTCCATCCACGTTGGATATATATGAATCTCAATACCCGTATTAGGACGCCCCACGCCCAATATTTGGCAAGTCACCTTCCTCTTTACCAGATTTGTTTCTATCCACTTCTTCCTCACACTATATATAACCCCCATTCTACCCCCATCCCCTCATTCAATTGATCCTCAGCAGCATCGCATACCACCTCCACTCCTTTCAACCAAAACAACCACATCACAGCCACAACAAGAGCTCAGAGAGAGAGAGAGAGAGAGAGAGAGAACAAACACTTCAATGGAAATTTGCTCTACTTTTACATACATCCTGCTCTTTCTCTCTACTCTACTCTTGTACTACTTATCAAGGAAAGAAAAGAGAAAACAGTCGAAATTACACAAAGAAAGGGCCAAGCTTCCCCCAGGTTCAATGGGGTGGCCATGTATTGGAGAGACTCTCCAACTCTACTCTCAAGACCCAAATGCATTCTTCACCACAAAGCAGAAAAAGTTTGTACCACTAACAAATTGTCACTGCTAATTTTCTTCCATTTTTAATCTTTTCTTGCACACACACACAAATAGGAGACACTCTTCAACTCTAGTACTCACAAGACCCACATGTGTTCTTGGCCAATAAGCAAAAAAGTGTAATTTTCTCGATTTTAACACAACTTATATCCTTTTGGAGGTGATGTAACAAACAACACGAGCTCCCCAACAAAGCCAACAAAAATCTGAACCGAATTAATAAAAAATAAAAAATAAAAAAGGCAATTTTATTATGGTAGTATACCAGCTGCCTGCTCTATAAATCCGTAAATAAATACCAATAGCTCAATTCCACTTCTGATTTTCTCCCATTTTTAATCTTTCTTCACACACACACGCACATATAGGAAGTATGATCTAATGGAGTTGATATGTTTTCAGATATGGAGATATATTTAAAACCCACATACTTGGCTGTCCTTGTGTTATGCTAGCAAGCCCTGAGGCAGCAAAGTTTGTGCTGGTGACTCATGCTCACTTGTTCAAACCCACATACCCAACGAGCAAAGAGAAGATGATTGGTCCTTCAGCACTGTTTTTCCACCAAGGAGACTACCATACTAACCTCCGGAAGCTGGTTCAGAGCTCACTATCGCCTGAAGCAATTCGAAAACTAATTCCCGATATTGAAGCATTAGTCGTTTCCTCCTTGGAATCATGGGCCATCGGGCAAGTCATCAACACCTTCCGTGAGATGAAGAAGGTTTGTAATTCGTTGGCCTTGACAGTTTTAGTTCATAGATTCTCACTCCTCTTGGGAAAAAATGATGTTCTATCCGCAATCAGAAAAGTTGTTTTTACTATTCAAACCCGTGTTATATCTCGAATACGTCTACACAAGGTTTCCAACAGAATTTCATCATTTCGCTATTTGATTATTTGAGAGACTCTCGTCATTACAGAGTTGGAGAAGATATATTTTGTTTTACTTGCATATAGAAAAGTTACTTGTACGAGCCTTACTATCTTATAAATGCTTTTATATATATTGGGTATCTTAGAATTTCATCATTTGGTTGGTGGGTTCTACATGAATTGAATATTGGGTCCACAACAGATTAGAATATGCTTTGCTGATACATTATGCATATGGGTTTGTTGATCTTTACAGTTGTCTTTCGAGGTGGGCATTCTCTCTATCTTCAGTCACTTGGACAGCAAATATAGGGAAGAGCTGAAGGAGAACTACTGCACAGTAGTTAAGGGTTACAATTCCTTTCCAACAAACCTTCCAGGATCTGCATATCAAAAAGCTTTAACAGTAAGTATAATATTCAACCCCCATTACTCCACTGCAACCTCTTTCAGACTCTACCACATGATCTATTTGCGCTTACCACCCCGTTAAGTGTGTTGCTTGACGTTTACAAAGGTTTTGTCCCAAGTTCGATTCACTAGTATAGTAGACTATTAAGCTATTTTTAGTAGTTTGGTGGGCTATTGTCTAGTTGTGGCTCAAGTCATCTTTAAGAAGTGCCTACTAGTTCTCCCGTCTAGGCCTCTCTCCTCTCTGGAGGGCACATGAAGGACTCTCTAGAGGAGTCAATTTCAAGGCATCAATAGTCGTCCTCTCCCTCACCCAACTCGTCGGATACTACAATAGCCATTAGGGCCGAGACGAGAATAATCAATCCACCTTGCCTAATGAATGGTCGAGTCATATTTGGGGATCTATACCATAACATGAGCCTTCCATCACCCCCCCCCCCACCCCCCCACCCCAAAACAAAAAACAAAAAAAATCCCTTTTTTACAAGCAAAGAAAAACATATTTCAGAGCCTTTTATACTGAAGATTTATTTCATTCTTCTCTGAAATGAAATACTTGAAGGCGAGGAAAAGGCTTGGTGAGATTCTGAGAGAGATAATTTGGGAGAGGAAGGAGAAGAAACTATTGGAAAAGGATTTGTTGGGTCATCTACTCAACTTCAAGGATTCAAAGGGGCAAACTTTAACCGAGGATCAAATCTCTGATAACATCATTGGAGTACTGTTTGCTGCTCAAGATACTACAGCTAGTGTCTTAACATGGCTTCTCAAATACCTCCATGATCACCCGAAACTTTTAGAGGCTGTTAAAGTACGTAAACCAAAAACTCTCAAAAAACTTTTCTATTTCCGATATTGGTTTTTTTCTGGTCAGTAATTTTAATAAGGTAACTACTACATTTCTGTATTTAATTTTTTTTCCGTGAAAAGTAAAAAGAAAATATTTATAAACAATTCTCATTTTCCATAATGCAGGGTGAGCAAAAGGCAATTTATAAAAGAAATGACAGAGGAAATCGGCCATTGACATGGTCTCAGACTAGAAATATGCCACTGACACACAGGGTATGCTGTATGCATTGCTTAACATTCCTGTGGTATGGTTGATAGTAATTAGTAACCCTAAAGTTTCAGAAATTACATTTTGACCCAATATGTTTGTGAAAATTTTTCAGAACCATGCAGTGGGCCCTCTTCAACATATTAATTTATCGGTCATCCCACTCTTAATTGTCATCGTTTGGTTTTAAAATTCTAGTTTCGTTCCTGCGTGACAATAAATTGATGAAAACTTTCAGGTAATATTAGAAAGCTTGAGGATGGCAAGCATCATATCATTCACATTCAGGGAGGCTGTGGTCGATGTAGAATATGAGGGTAGGGATTCAAATTTTATTAGTAGATAGATCATGCTGATAAATAAACTTTTAAAAGCTTTGATTTTTAATTTTTTTTTTTTCAAATATTCTTAAATGCATGATGTGTTTGACATGTTATTGGGAATTGTCACAGGATACCTTATTCCAAAAGGTTGGAAGGTGATGCCATTGTTCAGGAACATTCACCACAATCCTGAATTCTTCAATGACCCTCAAAGTTTTGATCCGTCCAGGTTTGAGGTAATTAATAAAGGAGCTTGAAATTTTTTTTGTTCAACGATGAGGTTTTGTCCGGACACACCTCAATTAATCTTTTCTCGGGTTCGATCAAAAATAGATCATCTACACTGGAATTAAAATATTCATAAGCAATAAATTTCTCATAACCTAACTTCTAGGGTTGTTAAAATTCGAACTCAGAGCGTCTAAATTTACAATTCATCTTTATTACAAACAAGTACATTGAGTTACCACTTACATGGTCGAAATGACAACTTGTGGAGATCAATTTTGGATCGATTCTGAATTATTTTATTGTTCATTGAGTAGTAATTTTGACCTCATTAAATTGTAATTCACAAATATCAAAAAAATAATTTTTAGCACCATTCATTTTCTATCTTTTAAATTAACTTTTGTGGTGGTGGGTGCATGCAGGTTGCTCCAAAACCCAATACATACATGCCATTTGGCAATGGAGTGCATGCTTGTCCAGGAAATGAGCTTGCCAAATTGGAGATGCTTGTTTTAGTCCACCATCTTGTCACCAAGTTTAGGTACGATATTGAAATTTCACATTTCTCATTACACACAAACAATAGCAATTATTTTTTCAACATTTTGCAATTTTTTTTTCAAAGAAAAAAATTGGATAATATCATTTTCGGTTTTATATGGTTTTTTGTTGCAGGTGGGAAGTTATAGGTTGTCAAAGTATGGTTCAATATAGCCCATTCCCAGTCCCTCACAGTGGTCTCCCAGCTAGATTTTGGAATGAATCCAAAAGCCTAGAAGTTTTACCGTAGTAGAAAGATACATTCCCAACTTAGATTAAGTTTTCCAAAATGTCACCAAACCCTATGTTTTTTTTCTTATGGGGTCTCTATCTCCCTTTTATTGTCTACTTTCAATGGTATCCTTGTGTGTATTAGTATTATTTCTTTATAAAATGTGGACTTTGTAAGGACAATTGTGCCTCAATTTATGTAGTTTAAAAACTTTGTTCCCTATTTCTAACAATATGTCATGTCTCTTCAAATGCTTCCGTGTTTTTTAATGTTTTAAAGGGTAAAAACACATTGGACCTATTTGGAAGGTGCTGAAAACTTCGGGGCTATTTGGTTTGTGTTTACAAAACAATATTTTGTTCTCAAATCTCTAAAAATAAGAGAGATGCTGTTTGGTTAGTTTTTTATTATCCAATTTTTTGAAAATTCTAGAAATTGAAGTGTAATTTTAGAGAACAACATTTTGTAATTCTCAATGTTTTCCAAGACAAAATGAAAATACGATAACACTCTCATCTCCAAATTAATGAGGTCTCCCATTCGAGTTTTGTTGGAGACAAACAAATGGTGACTGTAATCAAGCTTCACTGAGCACTATCTTCTTCTCCACCGCTCTCACTAAAGCCTTCTCTCTCTCACGCAATCCATTTCCCCTCTCTCTGTAACAGATTTGTATATGTACAGATCTGTGTGTGTGTATATATATATATATGTATATATGTTCGAATCTGTATATATACACATATCTCTGTGTGTGTTGTGCAGGGGGTGTGTGTGTGCACAATGGCTGTGTGTGTTTCTTGTATGTGTGGGCGTGTGTTTGTTGTGTGGGTGTGTATGTTTTTGCCATTGGAGAAGATAATGGAGAGAGAGAGAATGCTCTAGATGTGAGCTTGACTGGAGAGGAAAGAATTTTGTAGTGATAATTTTTTTTAGTCAAAAATGATTAGTTAAAAATTGGTCATTGTCCAAACATGTTTTATTATTTTCTGTTCTTTAAAACAATTTTTAAAATTATATAACCAAACAGGTTTTGTAATATAAAAATATCAAAAAAATACTTATTTAAAATTCTTTTCAAAAATTATTTTCGAATACAATTTTTAAAGACACAAACCAAACAGCCCCTCAATTTTTTTTTTTGTTTTAGATAGGAAGAAGTCTGATCTGTTTAAATCTAGACTTATTGAGCAGTTTTTCCATTAACTTTTGAGCAAAACCAACTTTTATCAACATCAAGGAAACGTTGAAAAATAAAACTTATCTAATGACTTCCGAAGAAAAGCCAGTCTTTTTTAAAAACACTCTAAACTATTTCAAAAAAAAATTTAAACTCTGATTTTTTCATTTCACTTTTCAAAACTCTCTTTCGCACCTAAAAAAAGCCAACTTCAAACGGATCCATTATTTTTCAATTATATTAAAAATTCACAAAAAAATCGTGTGAACAAAGAAAATGAATAAAACTCGAATCCCGATTGAAAACCTTACAAAAAAAGGGCTAGTCTAATCACTTGTATTATGGTTCTAATTTTATTTTTGATGGTTACCATATCTGGATAGTTCTTAATTTGATTTTTTTTTTCAAAACCCAATTTTATTTTTATTTTTATTTTTCATTTTTTCAAAACAATAAGTAGATTTTTAATGTGTAAAAACTTATGTATTGTAGATTTAGTTGAGAGAAAAGAGACTTCAGTCTAACAAATTTTTTACTTCACGAATTAGCGAAAATGACATAAACAAGATACAAAATAATATGAGCTAAATATAATTAAATTTAATATCAAGAGGTAACTCAAGTGATAAGAAGGATGAACTGTAAATTCAAACATCTTAAGTTCGACTCTTGACAATCACTTGAGGCCAAGTAATGAAGAATTTATCCCTCATAAATACTTTAGTCGCAGTATGGATGACTTATCTTTGACTGGACCAAGAATGAAATTAATCAAAATGCACATAAATTGACCCAGACACCTAAACCAAAAAAATATTATATATAATAGAGCTCAACCATGGCTCCATAGAATGTATTTTTCACTTCTCGTGGAAGACACCATAAGTGGTGGTTTTGGAAGTGCCTACGCGTTCATATATTTGCTTGGCTAATCAGAAATGGAAATGCCCTCGGCTGGAGGGCGCTCTCTGGAGTACCCGAAAGGTCCTTACAGAGAATGAAAATTTAGAAGGTCCCATGACCAAGTACAAACGCCATTTTAGCCATCATTTTCTCAGTGAGCCCCAAGCCATTGGTGCTCTTTGGCCGGTGACAGAACCATAAGATGATGACCTAACGGGAGGGGGAACCTTTGGTGGTGACCTAGTCGCGAGGGGCAGTGTACTACTACAACCCCCAACCCTTTTGGTCTGGATGATTTCGACCATAATGTATTTGTCATTAATGGAACCTCTCAAAGCAGAGACATAAGAACCACTAGCAGAATCTCAAAAATGGAACGGATGGCAAGCAATATGGGGCAAAAAATGGAAAGATGGACCCGAATTTATGGCCACATGATATGGAAATATCTCTACAGAAGGGTAAGATGATGTTAAACGAAGCAAAATACTCAAAACCATACCTGAGCATGTGTTCTAGAAGTCGAGATGAGCTTGAATGAGAATCCAAACTCAGCAACCAAGCTCCCGCCAAGCTTAAACAAGTGATAGTCAACTTGAGTTGATTTGAGCAACCAAATTTGCAAAAGCTTGGCTCGATTAATATCACTAGAAAAGCGCAACAAGCTCAAAATAATGCATAGGAGCCTCCCAAGGACATTCAAAGAACTTCACAGAAACAAGCTAAAAATGTACAGGAAGCATCCAAAGGGCATTGAAAGAGCTTCAATATTCGGAAATCATCAATTGTTTTTCAATTATTATATATGAATAATCTCAGACATAAGAAATGAGGTCAGGTTTGAAGATCATGTTTAAACTGGTCTGCAATAATTCATAAAAAATAATTTACATAAAAGATTGCTTGAAAGAATCACCCAGACCACCAGCTGTCTTGTGTCCCGTGGTTTCCTACTGAGTCCAGGTCTCATAATGGAAGCAACCTACTCCATCTGTTTGAGCTGGAATCCGTTCACACGGAAGTAGCCTCAATGTTCTAGAGCCGAATTAATGTCGTTGGGGTTAGTAGGTTTGGAGGTTGGAGAAAACCTGTACTCTTAGCATAAACAGATTTTCAGATGTTATTGAGCTAATTCTAGTTATTTTTATTTTCTTATGTCATTAGAAATTGAAATTTATTTTGTAATCTATTAATTAGAACACCCTAATTCATATAAAATTTCAGCTGGAATTTATTCATAAGGATTAAGGAAGCATGGTATTCAAAGGTTCACATATATATCTCAGTTCAATTATTTCTGGCAAAAATATGCATAATGAAGGATTTGAATCGCTCCTAGACCAAATAAGATCCCTAAATAAGGAAGCTTAGTTGAACTGGCGAATTCCAGCACACGTTTTCAACCATTGCATCATTGCTGCTATGCTACGTTATACTGACACTAATCATTGTAGCAAACTGTAGATATAGGAACCATTGAATCATCATAAACATAACACTATCAACAATGAGCATCATCAGCATAAATTCCATCAGAATATCAATCGTTAAAGTTCGTAGAAATGGCAATCGGGACTGCTGTCTCATCAACACATTTGATTACTTTATCACGGAAAACAACGAGGAGTTAAATATTTTGAACTCTGTCTTTTACTTAAAATTTCATTTTATTCAAAAAAAAGGGTATTTATTCAAAACACTTCCCTTCCATTCATTTTCCAAGGTCCTTTCCGAAAAAATATTTGATTTCAAACACAGCGGAAGTTTTTGAACCTCAGAATTTTCACATGATGATGTACATGAAAATATCAAAAACGATGTATTCAAATCCAATTTAGATACTGATTCACAACTAACGTCTGTCTCGTCTAAAGAGAAGGAGAAGAATGATGGTGGTAGGACAAACGAATGATGTTTACAGTAAGAATACTCATCAAGAAAGACATCGACAATACAACTGATCCAGAAGTTAAGGATGTGGCCACTAATGAAACGGCAATTTTGTATAGCTGGAGCAGCACTAACATTTTAGCTTAAGATGGCATATGTTGCAATAAAGTGATCAACAGGTCGCATTTCAGTTCCTGAAATGGAGGTCTAAGCCAATGAACAATCAAGATGGATAACTCATATCCAGTGGGTAACCTATATTGGGAAGGATCATGAACCTTCTAGACACAATTTCTATATAAACTTACTGCGAGTTTTTGTCAAGATTTTCGATGTCATTTCAACATGATTTGGCCATCATTTAGACCACTTGAAATATGTGAAAGGGATACTCAAATTAAGAGTAGAACCCCGTATATATATCCAAAAATAATACAGAGTGACTTAAACATCCTTGTAGTTTAGGCAAAATATAAAAATCATAGTAAGGGTAAAAAAGGGAAAAGAAATCCTAATAAACCTAGACTATCTATACTCCAACACTCCCCCTCAAGCTAGGCGCAAAAATGTCAACTAAGTCAAGCTTGACAACGGAGTCCCGAAGAATAGACAGAGTGACAGGTTTGGTAAAAACATCCGCAACTTGATCACTGGTCCCCACAAACGATGGAGTAACAAGACCACTGCTGACCTTCTCCCGAAGAAAGTGAACATCGATCTCTATATGCTTCGTTCTCTCATGTAGTACAGAGTCAGAAACGAGTTGAATAGCAGATTGATTATCACAATATAATGTGGATGGAGAGGTCACTGAAAAACCCAACTCGTCAAGAATTGATCGTAGCCAGATAATCTCATATGTGCCAAGTGTCAATGCCCGATACTCTGCCTCTGCGGACGAGCGGGAGACAACTGCCTGCTTCTTGCTCTTCCAAGAGATAAGATGAGTCCCTCGAAAAGCACAGAAACCCGTAGTAGATCGACCATCACATGTTCCCCCATAATCTGAATCTGAATAACAGGCTAGAGAACCGGTCTGAGATCCTGATGCATAAAACAACCCAAGTCCAGGACAAGACTTGAGGTACCGAAGAATATGATAAACTGCATCAAGATGAGGCTGACATGGCCTATGCATGAACTGACTAACTCGACTGACTGCGAATGAAATGTCCGGCCTAGTATTGGCTAAGTAGATAAGTCTACCTACCAATCTTTGATAAACTGTCGGATCTTTCAACTCCTCACCTTCAGCAGTAAGCTTCAGGTTTGGAATCATAGGTGATAATGCCGGTTTGCACCCTAACATCCCAGTGTCTGAAAGAAGATCCAAAACATACTTTCTCTGAGAAAGAACAATACCTCTGCTTCTACGGGCAACCTCAATCCCAAGAAAGTATCGCAGAAATCCAAGATCCTTCACATCGAAGGCCTTCCCAAGGTCTATCTTGACCTGCGCAGTCCCAGAAACATC